AAAGTAAATAGAAATACCAAGTATCGTAAGATAGCCGCAAATAACGAAAAAACGACGGTGATATGACATACGATTTATTCGTCTAGACCATAATTTCATTGCTATGGTTCTTTTTTTTTTATTTTTATCATTGATGTCGTCGAATAAGTAAGACAGAAACTGCTCGATGGAGACACGTGTGCGCTTCGCTGTACAATGTGATCAACCCTTCACATTTGTATAGTAACGAAAGAGAAACATAATGTTGAACGTAGTAGTTGATAAAGGAAAAGAAAAGTGTCTCAGATTGCATATGAAAGTCGCCACCAATCGTCGACAATTTTACTGCTGATAAAACTTGAGGGTTAGCCCATGTAAATTTTTTTCGAGTCGTAATGCGTCTCTGAGCGTTTGTGAACGATGGCACTTCACGCATCAGGACGCATCTAGAATGCAACATTTTCAGGGGTGTAGACACATCCAGGGTAACCTGACGCATCTACACTGGTTCAGTATCTAAACGTATCATAAGTCGTTTGTATTGGAAGACGCTTTAGGACTCGTCCAAAATGCAACATTTTCAAGCATGGGAACGCATCGAGAAGCAAACGCGTCTAAACTCCTCTGGATACAAGATGCGTTAGAACGCGTTTACTTTTTTCCACCAAAAAAAATTAAAAATTATCAACACTGTCGGAATTGAGCCGACGCATCATATTAAGCGATGATATAACATCCACATACCATGAACAACAGACTGGTAATTTTTCCAACAATAGCGTGAACCAAGATTTGAACCCATGAACAGTTGATTACAAGTCGAACATAACTTCCGCTGAGTCATACATTGCTTGATATTGTTATTATCTTCATGAATCACATGAATTAATCGTTTTACAGTGCTTGTGACTTATCTTGCTTTTTAAAATAATTATAGTTAGGATATTTATTTTAATGAAATCAAGATAAGGCATTCTTTTTATCCATGAAATAACAGTGGGAAAAAACTCAACATTTTGGTTTACTGAAAAAATTAAGGAAACCAAATATATCTGTCTTTGAAGGGTATAAATGTACATATACGCAGTATAATAATATTGATTAACATTTTTTCCATTAGTATAAGGACACTATAACAGGGTGTGAGTGTGGGTGTTTTTTCCGGTCACAGATTCACCCGCACCCCGCACCCCACACCCAAAAATATAGAATTTGACATTTGACGTAGTTATTTTAGATACATAAAGACAAATATGTTTAGCAAATTGGCTACGGTACTCAAAATGATGAGAACAAGCATTATATAACCATCGAAAATATTTGCGATTGATTGAAGACGATTTATTTCATAGTTGAGTGTAATAGTTGACATTATCAAAGTTTTTCTAAAGTATGTCTGATACTAAACAATGAATGCGAGTGTCGACAACATGTCATGTTAATGAAATTTTAATATTAATGAAAATCTTTAATCTTTTCACGTTCTATATGTTTGAGCATAAATTTATCTAGAAGAAGAACGAGCAGAACGATGACTGCTGCTCGCTGAACACAACACTAGGCGAGAGGATAAGAAGAGAATGAATCACTAGTTTGTCTAGGATGTGATACTAGAGAGTGAGGATGAAGATGTGACTATTTCCTCTTCTTTCGGTTACCCCACTCACATCAATGGGTTTTTCAAAATTCTATAACAATATCTCTCAAAGTATTCTTAAAACAAATTACATTTAAAATTGAAGACACCATTTTGATTTCTTCATAAAAATGAAATTCGAGAAATAACGATGGTAGTTGAATGAGCCATGTTCATAGTCTGTCAGTTGGTCACCGAACAGCAAAAACTGTAATCAATGTGTTCTCATATATTGCTATGTGCGTCACTGAAATGATACACCAACTCATCCCGCTTATCTTCTGCTCTCTTTGATGTTCTCTCTGCTTCATTGTTCAACGTCAGTAATCGATTCTATGACGGAAAAGAAACAAGTTTAGGTGTGTTCTCTACCTCAAAAAGACAGAGAGAAAGTGAAATATAAGACTTATTTTCAGTAAAATAATCTCACAGCTACTATAACAAATTCATCATATGTGACAACATCTCCCAGGTCGAGCAATCCGACAGTCGGACCCTGTCGGATCCCAGCGGAAAATTATCGGATTTCTTCGGATCCGATGGGAATGCGTCGGAATCCTTGGTATCGGATTCCGACAGGAAGTTGTCGGGTGTCGGAAAATGTCGGATTTTCAGGGTTACGACAGGATCCGGGCCATTCCGGCACTTTTCGACATCCGAAAACTTCCTGTCGGAATCCGATACCAAGGATTCCGACGCATTCCCATCGGATCCGATCGGGTGAGTTCGACCTGGGCTATGTTGTTCTATACAATTTGACAAGAGTTTCATCGAATAGTGAATGTTGCGATCTCTAACCAATGCTTTTGAAACTATGCATTGAATGGTCTGGTTCACTGAACGGAACGAATGAATTAGAATTAGGGATGTTATGCTTGAGCAGTGACGAGGTTAACGATATAAAGTGAAGTAAATCTTTTATGAGTTACTACACAGATTCTATTATTTTCAAATCTGAACTAAACAATAAATTATGTATTTATCTCAAAACTGTTTTTAACGATATTTTTGAGCTTTCAAATTAAATCGATGTTTGAATTTGTCAATCTTTGGTCGTTTAGGTAATGTATTGAAACGTCCTGATCGAGCTGCTTGTGCTTCATTGTGCTTCAGATATTGTTCATGCTGATAAATAGCCAATTCTTCACGGGTGGTAATAATGTGATACATCTCAAGTATTAGAAAATTTTCAAATGGCCACATGAAACTTTTCCTAGGATTCGCTTTATCTGGTATAGGATGATCTTTTAACGCGTAGGCACCTCTCCAAGCAAACGTATTTGAAAAATCATCAGGAACAGGTTTATCATCGTCGTACAAATACATTAAGGTATCAATCTTACTATGATTAGCAATTTGTTGAGCGTTAGGTAGTAGATGTTGTTGCTTTTTAGAAAAGAATGAATAACAACATTCTTTTACCACTATTAACGTATGATGACGAAACCGTGAATTAAAAACAGCTGCATTGGAGAGAATGATGTTGACCAAAGAAAAAATATTATTTACTGTGTCAAAATTATGTAAATCATATTCATTTTTACTAAGAGCTATGATGAACTCTGCAGCGGTCTGCCGTGCCTCTGAGATATTTGCCTTCTGATATAAAATACGTTCTTCATCATTTTTGACTTTGACTGGATTTGATAGGACTAAGGATCTGCCTTTTAGAAGAGGTAGAGGAAATGGATCGATGCCTAGATAATCAAAGAGTTGAAGTGCATCCAAAATATTATTCGCTTCTGCTAGTTCGTTAAATAATGTATATGGTTGTCTGGAGATAATTGAGTGAAAAATTGCCATGTACCAATTATACTCTATTGGATGGCTCAATACATATTCACCATTTTCATTTTGCGGTGATAAAAGATCATCTTTATGTGTCACAATATTGGATAAATAAGGAATACGATTAAGCTCTTCTTGAGTGAGATGAACAAGTTTATCAGATGTTCCAAAACGAAATGCATATAACACAGTTTTATCAAAATTGCGTATGATGTCAGATACTTCCGTCATTTCTTGAAATGAGCAATCGAGCGAATGATAGCCGAATTGTAAATTACAAAGCTATCTATTGAAGGAAGGACACACTTTCATATCATTATGTTGGGTTTTTCCAAGCGTGATCGCTATTCATTGGTCTCTATAATGTTGTGTGTTGATAAGTTCGTTTAAATTTATATCCTTTTTTTTATAACAATAACACTGTTGAGCACAAAATTAGTTAGATATATTTAAAGAAACTGGATATTTCTAAATAAATTGATTAAGTGTTGATAGTGTTTTATTCCGAAGCTTGCTCGGCGAAGAGGGTGGTGGCGCCTCTACATATGAGTAATATTCTCTATTTGCTGATATCTTTTGAATGTTCGTTCATAAGGTGTGGGGATGGATGCCAGTATGATTAATGCAACTGAATGAGATAACAATCACACCAACACCCTCAAGATAGTTTATTAATCAACATTATTACAATTCGAAAATTGCCAACAGCAACGAAACTGAGGATCAAAAACTTGAAATGTAATAATTGTCACAAAACATTCATGAGTGAATTTCATTCAAAATTTATTCTTGGAGTATCCGCAATTCGAGTAAATCTAAAAGATTTGATTCTGTTTACGAACAATGTCTTCAAATATTACAAGTCAAACGATTTAGAAGAGTATTTAAGATAATGACCAATATAAAAATTTATTGTAGTTGAAATTTTATTTAAAACTATAAGCGTACCTGCTACAGATTTCGATGTTTTTATTTATTTTTATGGAAACTATGAAATCTATTTGTTTTCTATAGTAATGGTAGCCATATGTAATTCATGAAGAGTAGTAAAATAGAGTCGTTGTAATAATGTTACGGAACGATGCGTCTGGCCTTGTACTTTTGCTGTTTACTGTAAACTACTCAGTTAGTTGCACACGTGTATGTTTTTTAAGTGAAATGAAAAAGAAATTTTGCCATTTAGATATTATCTTTCCTAATTAGTAAAAAAAACTTTTTGTCAAAAATCAAATTAATGAGGTATATTGAAACGCTAATCATTAAATTTAAGAAGGATACATGAACATTGGCTACACATCATCGCTTCAAATATCGTATGCATATTTTTTTAAATTTAATGATTGCTCTAAGACGCAGCGAAACACTACTTTCTTTTATTCTTCATTTTGATTCAAGTAAATTGCATCAAATCACTAAAAATAAATGAAATGAAAAAAAAATATTTTAATCAAATGTCCAAATAGATATGTTTAGGAGAAAAGAAAACGTGCCAATATAATTTTCGAAAATCTTACTATGAAGCTATTTTTCAGTTTTTGTTACAGACGAGTGAATATCCTATGGACGATACCGACCTTTCAATTGAGCAGCTACGCAAATAAACGGCATGGTAACGTTACCGGTTATCTCCGTTGAAACTTGACACAAATTTCTAACTCAGCGTACAATTCTACATCGGAACATGCCAAATTTTAAATAATTTAAAATATAGGTTAATTTGACTTGTTATGCGCCCCCTCCTTTTCTCGGAAAGAAAAGCTATTTTGAATTCCTCTACTTTTCTTTCTTTTTTTTTCAGCAAGAAATGCTTGTTAATTTTCTTTACTTTTCCATCTTTTTTTTCTCTAGAAGGAAAGTTATAAAAAATGATGAATGGTAAGTTATCGCAGTTTTTCTATACATCTTTCCCGTTTTATCAAATATAAGCCCTAAACGAGATATAGTTGACATTTTCAAATATGTTTCTTTCATTTTCTTTCTTTTGCTGTATTCACTTGATCGGACATGTTCTTCTATATTATGTGTGGTGCCTTTATGCTAACCTCAGTGGATTCCATCTCTTACGTAATTCAACCATTTCTTGACGAATCTCTCTCATCTTCGAACTCGACTGAGATATTGATGAGATCATTTTGTGTACAAAATTTCATGACAATTGGATGAGACTCTCAAAAGTTATCGTGTGAACAGACTGGCGGCCGGGCACACTGACCGAATCTAGAGTGTACTCACTTTTTTTGAGGACATAAAAAGAACTTAAAAACAAGAGTATTGCAATCTGTGTTAAAAATAAATACAATTCTCTTTTTCTTTGAATAACAAACGAATAGAAAATGAGATTTATAGAGCCAACGATTGTTTTTGATTCTGCTATGTACGCATACCATCAGCTAATCAATATCATTTGTAATTCAAATAAGATAGACATATTTTCTTTTGTTTCATTAAAGGTTAACAAAATTAGCAACTAATAAAGTTATAAAATACCCAAGGAAGAAAAATTACAAATGATAATTTTTTTCTATACCAAAAGAAACGTATACATAAGTTAGGTCTACCATAATATTTCACTCTGCATGTGCAATACCAAAAAAAGTAGAAACAAAAGATTCAAATAAAAAACAATCGTTTAGCATTTAGTCTTTTTCAAATTAAAATTTTATTCACTGAAATTTGAGACTTATGAAACAATAGCTTATCGGTAAACTCTCAAGTTGACGAATGAGCACAAGACAATAGACGCCATGAAAAAGACATCAATTTCGGTCTATCGATTATCTTGACATACTCGCGCCAGCAATAATATACATCCGCATACGCACAGAAACAAAAAAGAAAAAGCTAATTGCGTCAATAATGTAGTTTTTCTTTCTCTTTCTTCTATACTTTCAGACAAATCGATTATTTAAGATAAACGTATATAGATACTCTCTAATCATAAATAGATGTAGCAGATCTATATGTTTTTTGTTTTTTCATTCAATCTAACCAAGAGACTAGATGTTAGTCATTCTCGATAGTTTTCGAGCAAATCTATTCTTCAATCATAAATCTCATCTGCTCAAACTATTGTGATTTTCATTATGGTTAAAAATCTCAAAATAATTCACACGACAGCAATAAAGAAAAAAAACATATTAAAGCTTATTTCTTTTACTTCATGTTTATGCCCATACTGTGAAAAGATATACCTCATGATTATCTGTATGGTGTGCTATAGATTCTAGGAATGATGCTCCATTACTACGTGAATCTTGTCGTAATCTTCATAATATTTTCTACTAGACATTCGACAGAAGAGCGATGACATGAAAATATGTGGTTTTCTACCTAGATTTTCTTTATCAATGGTCTCTATTGCTTATATATGTAAATATCTATATCTAATTGTTAGAGCCCATCCGGCTTATTCTTTCGGTCGGAAACAATAAAAAAAAATATCCAATCTTCCCTGGTTCGCTTAGATATGTCTTTTCTATAGCTCGTCTTGATGTATTTTTTTTATATATACCCTTTCTATACGTTCTATAGTATACGTCCTATTTGATATGTCTGAATCTATAGATTGTTTTCAGTAGTGTCAAAACATAAAATAGAAGAATAATACACAACGATAAGCATGGGTCGTGACTCGTAAAGAAGTGCGCAGCGACCCACGCCACAACACAGTTATACAAGGTGAGTTTCCGTTGATTATATGTTGAGACTGACCCACTCTTGGAATTATTTTTGTTTAATAAAGTTTCAACGAACAGGCTATAGTAGTATTGATCAAACAAAAATGAACTTTAAAGCGGTTGTCTTTCGCGAGTTTACGCCCGAATCATTGCGCCGTATCGAACATTATCGTAAAGAAGAAGCTGAACGTATTGCTGCTGAGCAATTAGAACAGCAAAAACCACATGAAGACGACAATGATGAGCGTCGTCGTATGATTAAGCCATCAAATGAAGAGTCAGCTGTTCCTAAACCAGCACCAAATAAAGAATTGGCTGTTGGAGAAACACTACCATTGTATTTACAACATAGATTTCCGCCTGAACTCATCGGAAAACCTATTGAAGAAATCGATCCTTATTATCGTACTGATGATGTATGTATAATCGTTAATAATTTGATTTTATGGGGGAAAAAAAGCAAAAGTCTATTTTAAAATCATAGGCATTTATGGTTATTAATAAGAATCATGTAATATTTCGATTTAGTACAACATCAGCTTGCTATATATTTTCTCCATTTAATTGTTTTCGACGTATAGCTATACGTATATTAACACATCCACTTTTTAGTACAATGGTTATGATTACTATCTTAACTAATTGTGTATTTATGACACTCAAAAATGCACCAGAAATAAATGAGTAAGCGACTGTCTGTTTCTTAATTTCTTGATAATACTATGTTTTTATTTCTATTTCAAAATAAATAGATATATTTTTACAATACTTTACACAACTGAAGCATTAACAAAATGTATTGCACGAGGATTTATTCTAGAAAAATATACATTCTTACGTGATGCATGGAATTGGCTAGATTTTATTGTAATTGTACTGGCGTATGTATTCAAAAGAATGGGAAATAGTTTATACTGAATATTTTGTTTTTAGGTATATAACATTTTTTATCAATTTGGGAAAAGTTGCAGTACTACGAACATTTCGTGTACTACGAGCATTAAAAACTGTTGCAGTTGTTCCTGGTATATTATTTAATATTTATCGATTGTTAATGAATTGCTTTTTTTGATAGGTTTAAAAACGATTGTCAATGCTTTAATACAATCATTTATTGCTCTACGAGATGTGGGTGTTCTATCAAGTTTTATTCTTTCGATATTTGCATTGGTTTGAGCTTTCAAAAAAGAAAACATATTGAAAAAGTTATCTTTTATTATAGATCGGATTGCAATTGTATATGGGTGCTCTTCGACAGAAATGTGTGCCAACTTTTGAATCCTTTTTGAATAATTCCAATGTTTCAAGTGCTAGAATTAATATGACATATGAAGGCTATTTGAAAGAAATCGACAATGAAAGTAGGCCAAAAAAATCGTTTGTTACAATCAAATGAAGAAATTTTTCTATGAGTCTATTGCAAGAGAAACCTCCGAGACCAGATATTGTTCGTTAATGATGATTTATTATATCAGGAAATTAACGCTGAATTCGCTGGAGTACGTCGTGACCGAAATTAGAACTCGTCAAGAAAAGTTTGAGTCATGTATATTTTCTGTTCGTTCAAGTCTTACTGTCCGTTAAATAAAATCGAGGGAAATATTAAAATAACAGTCTCTCAAAGTAGAAGACTTACCAATATATTTTATCTGATGTTTACTTGTACAGCTTATTGGCATAAAGAAAATGATCTCTATGTTTTGTGCGGTAATGCAAGTGGAAGCATACAATGTCCTTCAGGCTTTGTCTGTTGGAAAGATCGAGGCATGAGGTCAGTTATGTTTTTTTAACCATTCATCGAACATAATTTTATTGTTTGTTTTAGTCCCGATTTTGGATATACAAGGTAGATCATATTTTATTTTTGTTTTTTAATAATGAAAATATCTGTTGGTGCAGTTTCGATAATTACGGTTGGTCTATGCTGGCTTGTTTTCGATTAATGACACAAGATTATTGGGAAAATCTTTATCTATTAGTAAGAGAGAACATAATAAAAACATGAGCTCTATGAACTATTATTGTTCTAATCTAGGTACTGTCGGCTGCTGGTCGCTTTCATTTCTTTTATTTTGTTGCTGTCATCTTTTTTGGTTCATTTTATTTGGTGAATTTGATCTTAGCTATTGTCTCCATGTCCTATCAAGAACAACAAAAGCAAGTCGAAGCCGAAAACGAAGAGCGTGCGAGACGAAAACTTGAAGATGAACTTGCGATACAAAAAGAAGACGCAGAAAACGCAGCGGAAGCTCGTGCACATGCACATTCACACTGCGATAAAAATGCGCTAACTTTTCAAGGCATAAATCCTGATATTGAATTTAAACAAAAGGGAGAAGTAAAAACAAATTTTAATTCTTTAGCTTTTTTAACAAGATAAAACTTTTAGAAAAATGTATCCTACAACGTACAAACAGCAGAAGGATCACCTGTTCGACTTGATCAGTCTACTGGTGTTCCTCCCAATCCTACGACAGTATCAATTTTGGATGAAACAAAACAGCATTCAGCAAACGAAGATATAAAAACTCAACACAATCAAAATGAACATGATTTGACTATGACAGTAAACAGAAAATGAATTTTTATGCATTTTGTTTTCGAAAATTTATCTTGCAGGCTCATCAATCTAAATCTCCTATGGATTATGCTCTGGTTAATGAAGAATTAACAGCAGAAGAAATAGAGAGAATAAGTATTCGATCAGACGGTGAGTCGTAAAAAATTCACATCAATTTATTGTTCACGTCATGTTTCAGAAAATTTTTCTTTTTCTCTCCTTTCACTTTCAATCCTCACTGTTTAAATCAACATCAAAAAATTCTACACTTATGATTTCCATAATTTACTGTTTATGCACGATTTCGATTAACAATGACTGAGCATGAACAGTAATTATAGTATCCTCATTATAAAAAAAACAAATATCCTCATTTTTAGAAGTGGAATCGATTCATAAAGATGAAGGAGCAATAATTAAATTTCTACGAATTTATTGCTGTGAATGCAGTTGTCCATCGCCGATATTTCGAAAATTCCAAGTAGGTCTTTCTCAAAATCTTGTAATTTCAATAAAACATGATTCATTTAATTTCTTCATAGGCGATCGTTGCTTTTTTTGTATTGGATGCATTTGTTGATTTATTTATTACGATATGTATTATATTAAATACATTATTCATGGCACTTGATCATCACGGCCAGAGTGAAACAATGGCACGAGTTTTAACAGGTGGCAATTATTTTTTTACAACAATATTTACGGCTGAATGTGTATTGAAAATAATTGCAATGAGCCCATCGAAATTTTTTAAAAACGGATGGAATGCATTCGATTTTGTCATTGTTTCAGTCAGTCTTATTGAATTAGGTCTTGCCAATGTAAAAGGTTTAAGTGTTCTACGTTCATTTCGATTGGTAAGGATATCTAGTCGGTCTTTTTAACTTACATAAAAAACGCCATTTTCTTCAAGCTACGTGTTTTTAAATTGGCTAAGTCATGGCAAACATTAAATCGTCTCATGTCAATTATTGGCAAATCAATAGGAGCTTTAGGAAATTTAACTGTGGTTCTCATTATTATAATATTTATTTTCGCTGTTGTGGGAATGCAGGTAAATTGAATGAAATTTTTTGTAGGAATTTATTCTAAAATGATTTGTAGTTATTTGGCCAAAAATATGAAGAAAAATTTGGTAAAGATATGCCGCGGTGGAATTTTTTTGATTTTTTTCACGCATTTATGTAGGTTTGTTTGGTTAGTTTAAGAATAGAAAAGTTGATTTTTGTTTGTTTTCAAAGGATCGTTTTTCGTGTATTATGTGGTGAATGGATTGAATCAATGTGGGTATGTCTTGAATGCGCTGGATGGCCATGTATTCCATTTTTTCTGTTAACATTTATCATCGGCAATCTTGTCGTAAGCGATCTTAACCTATAGAAGAAATTTCCTTCGTTATTAAACGCACCCATCGTTATTTTCTATTTGTCTATATTGATAGATATTAAATCTGTTTTTGGCTCTTTTGCTTGCATCATTTGGTTCAAATGTTTTAACTGAAAAAGAAGAAGAAGAAAATAAGATTGTTGAAGCTATTGATCGTATTCAACGATTTTGTCGTTTTCTAAAGCAATACATAATTTATCATTTGTTCTGTCAATACAAGCCACGGCGAAAACAGACTTTAATCGAAAATTGTGTCGATGATACTGTAGCTGACGATCAAGTTTGTTACATCATTTATTTATGATTCTGTTTGATTTAGTTTGTCTTTGTTTAGTCTCTTTCTGTTGCGCGCGATGCAGTTAGTTATCTTCCTGTGCCAACATCATCTCAGTTCGAACAATCGACTACTTCAGTATACATCACTAGTGATCCTTTAACAGCAGGTGAAGAAATTGAAATGGAGCCAATGAATACTGACTTTATACCACCACCTCCTCCGTCATGGGAAGTTGTTCACTTGCCACCGGATTGTTTTTCGAATGCAATAACAAAATATTTTGCTTGTTGTGCTAAATGTATTCCTCAACGTATGCAAAAGCGATGGACATATCTTCGAAGTGCAGCTCATTGGGTTGTTGAACATCGATATTTCGAATGGGTTATTATTATTAGTATATTAACTAGTAGTACAACTTTAGTAAGTTGATGGAATCGAGAAATTTCAAAAGATTGTTTAATTTTTAACTTTCTCTAAAGGCTTTGGAAGACATCCATACACGAAAACAGCCGACATTTACTGAAGTTTTAGATATATTCGATAAGGTTTTTACCGTAGTTTTTACCATGGAATTAGTATTAAAGTGGTTTGCATATGGAATAACAAATTATTTTACAAGTGGCTGGAATTGGTTAGATTTTGTTATCGTCGTCGTCAGTGTTCTTGGAGCTGCTCTTGATCTATTTGGTGTAGCTGATATTCCAGCATTTAAATCGATGAGAACGCTGAGAGCTTTGCGTCCATTAAAAGCACTGTCGAGATTCGAAGGAATACGAGTAAGAAAATAACCGATTCAATTCTAGAAAAAATGTTTTTTTTTGTTATCAAATAGGTTGTTGTTAACGCATTGTTTGGTGCTATACCAGCCATTTTTAATGTCTTACTTGTTTGTCTCGTATTTTGGTTAATATTTTCAATAATGGGCGTACAATTATTTGGTGGAAGATTCTATAAATGTGTTTATGTTGATACACATGATCGTGTTAGTCTATCAGAAAATGTAACGAATAGAAATGATTGCCTAAGAAAAAATTTTACTTGGGAAAATTCACGAGTGAATTATGATAATGTTCTGAGCGGTTATTTGGCTTTATTTCAAGTGGTAAGCTATCGAAAATTTTTGCGTTACACATTTTGAATTCTGTAGCGCTTACGATAAAAGTTTATCTTGCAAATATCTGCATGTTTTTGTTTCGTTCAACTAGGCAACTTTCAAAGGCTGGGTGGAAATAATGGCAGATGCGACTGATGCTAGAGAAGTATATAGATATTTCTATTTTGCCTTTTCCTGATCAACATATTTTTATTGTGTAATCTTTTGAGATCGACGCTCAACCTGAATACGAACATAATGTTCATATTCTTATTTATTTCGTTATGTTTATTATATTTGGCTCATTTTTTACTCTCAATCTATTCATCGGTGTTGTTATTGATAATTTCAACCAACAAAAACGAATGTTAAGTTTTTTGCTTTTGAATTAATTTCATACCCGGAAAAAATCTAGTAATGTTCGTTGTTCTCAATTTTAGTTAGGAGCTAATGGTTCATTAGAAATGTTTATGACCGAGGACCAAAAAAAATATTACAATGCTATGAAAAAAATGGGTAATAAAAAGCCGACTAAAGCATTGCCAAGGCCAAGAGTAAATTTTTCAATTAGATCGAATATAAACGCATATCACTTTTTCGATTTATCTTAGTTCGCACTTGGACGATTTCTTTTTGATGTAACAACAAGCCAAAAATTCGATATATTCATAATGATATGTATTTTTCTAAATATGCTCTGTATGTGTCTTGAACATTACAATCAAAGTGAACATTTCGATCGTGTTCTTGGATATATCAATCATTTTTTCGTTGCAGTGTAAGTTCAGAATGTGTTAGAAGAAATAGTTGATCATTCGCTGAGACAGATTTCTACACAAATTTAATTCACTGTGAGTCGTAGAAATGAATATGTTTTCATGTGCTCTAAATGATATATATATAAAACGAACATTTTACAAGTCACTCTTGTCTCTATGAATTATTGATATTAATTTAGATTTACTATCGAATGTGTTATGAAGTTAGTTGCCTTAAATTTTAAATATTTTACTATTCCATGGAATGTATTTGATTTCGTCATTGTCATTGCATCGATTCTTGGTATGTTGGTTCTCTTCTTTTTTTTTTTATAAAATGATGTGTTTTTTCTTCTGGCTAGGACAAACACTAGGAGAACTTATGGCGAAATTTTTTGTTAATCCAACATTATTGCGTGTTGTTCGTGTTGCACGTGTTGGAAGAATCCTACGTCTTGTAAAAGGTTAGAATTGATAGCAATAAATTGAATCGTAGATTTGTTTAAATCATCTTTATTTTTGTAAAGGAGCAAAAGGTATTCGAACATTACTTTTTGCATTAGCTGTTTCAATGCCTGCTTTATTTAATATTGGTCTTCTTCTCTTTCTTGTCATGTTTATCTATTCAATATTTGGTATGTCATTTTTTGGTTATGTAAGAAAATCAGCTGGTCTAACGGATCTATTTAATTTTGAAACATTTCCTAATTCAATGATTGTACTATTTCAAATGTGTACGACTGCCGGTTGGTCTGGTGTTTACCAAGGATTAACAAATGATCAACCACCAGATTGTGATCCAACTTTAAGTACACCCTCAAATAAAGGTGATTGTGGCGATACATCCATTGCAACACCATTTCTCGTCACCTATGTAATAATTACTTCACTCGTTGTGGTAAGAATTTCGAAATTTTTGTTATCCTAACTGTTTTTGTTTTTCTCATTGGGTATTATTATTTAGGTAAATATGTATATTGCAGTTATCTTAGAAAATTTTTCTCAAGCACAAGAAGATGTTCAACAAGTAATTCGATGAGAAATAAATTTGTTTTTTTGTTTTAACCCAAATTTGATCGTTTATAGGGCTTAACCGATGATGATTATGATATGTATTATGAAAAATGGCAACGTTTAGATCCGTCAGGTTCGCAATTCATACAGTATGAACAATTATCAGATTTTGTCGATGGTCTCGAACCACCATTACGTATTCCGAAACCAAACCATTTCGCACTCACTGGCTTGGATTTACCAATATGTGAAAATGATCGTATGCATTGCGTTGATATACTTGATGGTCTTACAAAATATTTTCTTGGTGCATTTGACGCCGAGGTACCTAATGGTGACGCTGATGCACCTATTGACATAAAAAAAGATCGTCCAAAAGATTATCATCCCGTAACAACAACAGTGAAACGTCAACGTGAAACTTATTTAGGTCGAATAGGCTTAAGACACTTTCGATTGAATGTTGAACGACGTAGAAATGAACGAAATAATCAAGAACAAACACCGGAAAAAAATACAATTGATACACACGTTGAATCAGGTGCCGTGAACACATCAACAATATCCATATGATTGTGGCAAAAGTGAATAAAAACTATGTTTTTTTTAATATTCATCGTTAACTTTGCTGTTTTTTGCAATAATATGATTGCCCTATGCAGAATTGCATTTCTCACTATATAAATATATGGTTGCAGTGAAGTTAAATTCAACAATAGCATAGGAAAATTTACGTGTATTTTAATAAATTCATATCTATTGAAAAGAAAAAGACATTGACATTCACTCATCAAAGTATACACCTCTATGACGGAAATCTTCGTCATATGTTATTTAATTCTCTAGAAAACAAACTTACTAACAAATAATCTAGATTTTGCGTTCAAGTTAAACTAATTTTCTCCATAATCGTATTGTCGCTGAATGCTGTTGCGCTCAGTTCAGCAACAAATGCCCGTGTCTAACTGAAAATCGATTCAACTGTTCTGTTGAATATGTACTTTCTATTTTAATTTGACTATTGACGACGATAGAAAGATCTAACACTCAGCTAACAATTGTACCTAAATACTTCTAATATATTCCATCAATGATCCTCATTTTTTCTTGTACAGGTAGTTTTGTGGCGATTTGGGAGAAAATTAGGCGGAAATTATTATGGCTTGCATTTATTTGAGCAATAAAAATATTGGAATGAGCAATAACCAAAGTGCGATTTAGCAATAATTTTTGAGCAATTTTATAATATTAAATGTACAATAAATAACTCATTAAAAAGCAGTAATAATTTCATATTTTAACAATAAAAAGAAAAACTAAATTATTTTTATTTACAATTGTAAATAAAAAAAATAGAAAATGAAATAAATCATTGTCAATGAAGCCCTTTTTGCTTTTGATGGTCAGCCTCTTTTTCTTATTTTGTCGATTGCCACATTTTTTGCCTCTCTTAGACAAACGAATGAAAATTCAAAAAAATTGATAAATTATTATTATATGGATCACATTTTTCTGTCAATTGACATTCGATCAGTAAAATTTTCAGACCCTGACCCAAACCCATTTTCGTCTATTTTGTCTTTTTTTGTCTTTTTTAGCCTATTCACTGTTATTTGAAGAATGTAATTCCATATCACTGTCCCCTTCACAATCAGAAATATATTGCGCTATGCTTTGTGATTGAGCAATTTGTATAAACGATATATTCTATTTCATAAGATTGAAGAAATACCTATTTGTGTAAAAAAAACGTCAATCCATATTGCCCTTTTTGTATACAATTTATCTCTAATCTGAATTAATCATTGCTCATTCAATATATTTATTGCTCATTCAGTATAATTATTGCTAAATTTGATTATTGCTCATTCCAATATTTTTATTGCTCAATTAAATGTAAGTCAATTATTATTGTCTAATAATTGGGTGGTCGATTTGAGACAAAAAAGAAAATATTTCACAGTGTCCTACCTACCTTTATGTTGTATTTCATGAGACAGGAAGATTTTAAAGGCGAAAGACGTCGAACCTTTTGTAGAATATTTGTTGAATATAACCCATTAATATCATAGATATTGCCATAGAAAGTGTATTTCTTTTCAAACAAATACATATTATTTTCTATATTTAAAATATCATAATAAAAACAACACAAAACTTGATTATTTACAATTGACTTTTTAGTGTTGTTTTTTTCTGTTCGCATCCTCCGATATTATTTCTTATCTATTTTCAAAAATTTTCCATGTCGTACGTTGCCATTTGGTTCAGCATCATAATAATTCTGACCCATTTCAGTATGTTCATCGACTGTAAAGAAACGTAATCCACCCTTGACAACTACATATCCTTTTCCATCATCGTCATCAGCATAGTCACAGAAGAAAATAGGATGTTGACTAGGACATGTCCATGTGTAAATGTGATCTTCCGTAAATTCTGCATCTTCCAGAAGTTCGAGGAAAAATTTCCTCATGAGTAAACTGCGTGGGACGTTTCGATCATCGACCACCCAAGCTGTTTCATCTGAGTGGCAAGCCGCTTGATATGCAAGATTTGGTACTTGCTGTGTTCTAAGCTCATCGATCCAAGCTCCCGAAAAGCATGTATCAGAGATAATGGTCAGTGCATCGCGCACTCCTCGATTCGCCAATGTCCAAAGATTAATCAACTCAGTGCAAGACATCATTTCGTCTTCTGAAAAAGACCAATTTCCAGTATTTGGCTCTCCATGACCACACCAATAAATTATAAACGTGGTTGCTTTTCCGTAAGCCATGCCCTTTTGTTGTCGTTCGATGTCATCAAAAGTGAAAAAAGACAGAATACGTTCTATAGTGTCTAACTTGGAACAATGTAGGGCTGTTGGTACACTTTGAAAAATTGTGGCACCTACTCGTTCAAATAATGATGTCAAAGCACGAAAGTCTCGTTCCCATAGGAAATTATCTTTGACTACATCTTTTTTTGTACGACGCGTTTCATCATCACGCCGGCGACCATATCGAACAATACTAGCACCTCCTGCAGTTTCGTCGTAAATTGAACCACCGAGAAGAAGAGCTACACAACGTTCATTACTACTGCCAGAACGTGTCTTCTGTTTCTTCCATGGCATTTTTATGCACTATGCGAATTCATCGGATGAATTCAGCCTTTTATACATAGTAATTGTGTAAGTCTTCATGTGTCATGACGAAATTTATCAATGCAAATATTGGTCACACATGCGTTTCATAAAAGCAATGACTCACAGTAGTCGGTTAAAACAATTAATGGGGTAATTGTCTGTTTATTCATAAACGGTTTATCTCACCTAAACTCCTACGTATCAAGCAGAAATGAAAATGAAATATAGACATAAAGGTATATCATTCACTATCTATTCGCTTATACTTTGTTTTCACGAAGAGGACGAGAAAGAAAAAGAACAAAAAATACCTATCATTTATTTTTGTTCTCTAAAAGGCCCATTTCCACTAGGAATACTACTTATTGTAATAGAGTCGGATGATTAATTTTAACCGAAAAATTTAAGATTTCTGTTGTATAAAATCCATTTTCATCAGAACATATTTCTATACTGAGAAAACACACTTTAACAACCATTTTATGAAAATTGCTCAAAAATCGATGATTTATCATGCTGATTAATTCATACCCTAGTCAACTTTCCCTAGAAGAATCCCCGGGTAGTCGTTGGGGGAGAGTCGATTAGGGTAATCTTCTCCTAATCAATAAGGATGAGCAGTTTGAATATTTACTGTAACATCAGATATTATTTGACTCCACCTATTTATTAATCCTCTTCCCCATTGCTTCTTTCCTCTCGTACACGTACGTAGGTGTAAATTAAGAGTTTAATCTAGTTTATTTTAACTGATTCTTACATTCAAATGTGCAATAGAAAACTTAAAATTAACATAAAATAACAAGCAATGACATAAAAATAATACAAAAGTAAATAAAAAACACCAAAACAGTTAAATCAGATAATATTAAAACATTTATATTCATTATGGATTTGCTTGAAGCCATAATATAAACATATCCTTTGACAAAATAAAAGCAATAAAAGGAAAAGAGAAGAGAGTTAGATAAAATTTTGGTTAAAATAATAATTCATCATTAACGTTTTGGAAAGTCAGACCTCAATCATCAATATGTGAGACCAGATACGGATCTTATATGATATGACCGTATACAACTGTATTTGTACCGTTTACGTACCGTTTTTCGCCGCAGACAAGGCCAGTGTTTTACGACCGTATTTTTACCCTGATTTTACGGTGTGCATGCCGTAAGTATATTGTATACGACAAAAATACGGTCGTAAAACACCGTTCTGGATTACGGGCCGTAGCTAGCGCTGTATGGCCATATACGGACTGTATTGTTCGACCACGGATATCGCGATTATTCGTTGAATAAGCGTTTCTGTTAACGTTTATATGGCGTAAAGAATGTCTGCTGTAAATGGAACAGTCTCTCAATTTATGAAGGAATCATCCAACCGATTGAATCGAATATAAAATTATCGGGACATGATTATGATTCCTTTCGTTCTTCAAAGCAAACAAATGATTCAAACTTCCGAGTTGCGATAGTATAAAATATATGCAACAGAGTAGGCTATTGACTTATTCGATTATTTAATTCATTCAACGTAGTACATAAATACCGAGTCATTTGAAGTGTCTTGTTCTCTTACATTTTACGAGTTCAATCATAATTATCAAACCACATCAACCAACAGACTAAAATGGGTTCAGGTTCAAGTGTCGAATGCTCGGTGTACACGAGCTCATCCTATGGTAGATGCGATCACTGTAGACGACGCTTCTGTAGTTCACATTTCCGAAGCCACAATTGCACGGGTGTAAGTGGCTACGGACCGACCACAGTTCGTTGCAAACCGGAGTGTGATACTTGCAAAGTGATGCAGTTGGCACTTGTAATGGATGTAGCTGTAAAGTTTGTTCGTCATGCTTTTATTCGAAACATCAAAAACAATGTGGTACAACATATTATCGATGATTCACTTTTTTTTCTTCACTATTTTTTATGGCCATCTTAAGTATGAATAATCGAATAAAAAAACATTTCATTATAATTATTAATGAGCGCATAACATGAGTTGGTTTGATTTAGTATATCTATATGTTGATAGGAAAGAATTCCATCAGTTTATGGATTTCATATATAAATCGATCTATCTGAATAAATTACAATTAAGAATGTCTCATCTTCATTTAAACAGAAAAAAATTGAATTTCCAATGAAGATATTTATGGAGAAAGAACTGTTAGCGTAATTGAATAATGCGTTTACTCGGTACTTCGACATTTTCTCATTAATTTATTGTTTATTTGAGCTCCTAGGTGTCGCATGGATAGAGCGTGGTTAGTTCCAAATTTGCTTTTATTAAATTGGCAAATGTCTCAGCAAAAAGAAATATTCTAGGTAAAAAATAGAAGTCTTACTATGGGATAGGGGAATATTCCACACCATATTCACTCACACTCCCGAAAAGTTCAATGACGAACATAGTCGACAAATTTGACAAATATTCAGATACAAGCTCCATCTACATTGATGCTCTTTTGTGACTGTTTTACCCAATTAGTCGAAACTTCTAGTGATGAATATATATTCAAATTCAGAAAAATATATAGTTTAGACAAACAAAAGAATAAGTCCTTCGTTATATTATTTTTCTAAAAAGAATTATAGCGACTGAACCATATTCGTGCAGTTTAGATCAATTCAATACTACCACAGAATGTTAACTGTTTCGAATGGTGGTTTTGTAAATTGTTGCATTTAGTACCATTGGCTACAGGTCCAGAAGAAAATGCCCCGCGTGTATTACAGTTTGTTGCCATTCCGTAGCATTGATAGGTATCCGCTATCCAAATATAGCAGTTATCTGATACTGTACTCCGATAGTTTTTTCCTACAGAGTGTGGTGCTATGCATCTCAAAACAGTATTGATTCCTAAACTATAGCCAATTTCAGAAACACCACCGGCTCCATCTAAATAGTAACAACGATTATCCCATGAAACTTCATTATTTTGACATCTAGCAATCAGCGTTGTCGTAGTTGTACATGCTAAAAAAGTATCGAGCACTTTGACATATATGAGTTATCATTCAGTCACAGTATTTTCGTGAGAAACTATAGACGTTTTGCTTCATAACAAAAGATAATATAGAAGCTCACCTGTTGCTACAGTGCTGCTGCAAGTGTCTGTCGATAGACTAAGTAACCTTGTTTGAGTTGTTGTAGCGCGTGTGGTTGTGGATGTCGTGGTGTTACGACTAGGGATGCACCGATTCCTACACTATGCTTTTAAAAATGACATTCTTTTGCCATAAAGACTTGCGTTATATACGAATCTTTTACATTTGTTTTGACCAGTTTTTCATGCTCTACCTGGATCAACCGTCAAAATCCATCCAATGTAAAATAAACCTTTCGGACTCGGTGTGGAATCGGTCAAAAAGTGAAAATTTTAAAGATTTTTTCGACCGATTNACACTTGACATACTCTGATAGATTTTTCATATTATTTCTGCCCAGTTTAGAAGGCTCTTTTCAAATATATCCTCAGGAATATTCTAACGCGAAAGATAAACCTGTAATTTAGTGGGAATCGGTCGAAAAAATCTTTAAAATTTTCACTTTTTGACCGATTCCACACCGAGTCCGAAAGGTTTATTTTACATTGGATGGATTTTGACGGCTGATTCAGATAAAGCACGAAAAACTGGTCAAAACAAATGTAAAAAAAATTCGTATATAACCCAAGTCTTTACGGCAAAAGAATGTCATTTTTAAAAGCATAGTGTAGGAATCGGTGCATCCCTATTTTTGACCCAGTAAGTTCCGTTTTGGCAATATATTCATAATTATTACTCCAGTAAAATCATGTGTAACCGTAGTATCGCTTTTTCAGTTGCTCACCTGGTGCATCTATCTTCACACGGATAAGTAGAACATCCAGCTAGCATTTCAGATTTTATTTAAAGTGTGAAAAGATCAAACCATATTTGCCAGGTATGCCCAAAGGGTAAGTTTTAATTTTCCAACACTGGAATAAAGAGTTACTGAACCAATTCTTTTAATATGCAAGCTGATGAAAGCATACCTGTTGAACCGTAACGAGAAACAGCATAATTGAGAGAGATATGTGACCCTGATATAGATTATGTTGTTTGAAACAACATAGTAAATGAAATTTTTCAAAATTTAAATTTAAAATAAATTAACAGGAAAATGCCACCTCTATCCACATCCACATCCTTAACAGGTTGCACAAGAGACGAAAGCAATCATAAACATAGCAGAGCTTAGCATGGAAAGCATATAAAATTGAATAAGGATAACATGAGTCATGTGCGGCGGTTTTTGCAAAGTCGAACCATTTTTGGTATGCGAGCAGAATGCATCGACCATAGACGAACATGTAGATTTGACGTGTGCAGAACAGAACAAAATTATTTTTAAAGCCTGATGCTGTAGGGAGGAAGGCTCAAACATGATGCTGATTCTCGAAAAACGAACATATTGCCACTCCACCAATCCCCCCTGTTTCAACTTGAATTCTATGGGATCTGTTGCATTCAAAAGTAGAAGAACAAAGTGAGATAAACAAGAAATAAGTAACGTTATTTCTGTTTTTTTACATACAACAGTAGATATATTGGACATTTACACTTTATCAAAATAATAAGCTTTGAAACAGAAAATGTTCCTTATCTGTGGACGTTATGATTCACTGACAAGCAGAGAGATGGATCTACCAACAGAACAAGTTAAAAAAAAATACTTATCACTTAACTATATTTTTGTAATTCATTTTACTTTCATCTCACTCTGAATTGTTGACGGAGATGCGCCTTCTCATATTTCTTATTCTGATAGTTAGGTGTTGGAGTGACATACAAATATCGATAAACCCAAAAGGGGAATATACTATTATTATTAATGATCATGTATGGCTTCGTTCTTCTCGCACAGCTATATATGCAGATAATCAATGGTATTCGTCACATGATAACTCTTTACCATTGGCAAATATAACTTATGTGCAAGGTACTGATCCGAATTTAGGTAATTGGAATGAAACTCAATTGATTTATGACCTTGTTCGAAGCGGAATGCATACCAAAGTAGTTGGCCATATACGTCAATGGAATTCAATTTCAGCAATAACATTTCATTTGGATACTGGTAATCAAGTGATGACGAATACAATTCCTCTCCATGTAGAAAATGTTCGTACAGTATTTCCATCATTTCATATTGAACGAATTGACAAAAATGATGAACGAGGTTACTTTACATTTGAAGGTAAAACTGATTTTAGAAGTGCTTTCAAATGTTGATTTTGTTTTCTGTTCAGGAGAGATGTCAGGTGATAATCACAAACATGCCGGTAGATGGGATGCATTAAGCGACGTTATTCGATCAGGAATGAATGGTGGTCCGATCGCTGTTTTCAATCTTACTCAACGAGGTGAAAAGGACTTAATAGTCCTTTCACCGTTTTCTCAATTTATGGCAACTTCATTAAGTCAAACAGTCAACGTTTTAGAATATGGTGTCATGGGTTCAATACTATCAATCCCAGCAAATTATAATCATTCAATGATTATTTATTACTCACCACGTGGAATCAATGAAGGTCTGCGTGAATGGGGTCAAACAATGCAACAAGCATACAATCGAACGAATCAAAATCGTCTCAATGATCTTACTATTAATTATCTTGGCTATTATACTGACAATGGAGCTTATTATTATTATCATACAGAAAAAGGAATAAATTATGAAGAAACATTAATCGATATCTATCATAAAATCCCACTTCCATTTCATTATATTCAACTAGATTCATGGTGGTATTATAAAGGAATTCGAGATGGAGTGTCTGCATGGACAGCTCGGCCAGACATATTTCCTGATGGTCTTCAACAAGTACATCGTCGATTAGGGAATATTTCTTTAGCAGCGCATAATCGTTATTGGGCATTTGATACTGTTTATAAACAAAATTATTCTTTTGTCCTGGATGAAACAAATGGACAAGCATTACCCATTGGAAATGATTCGTTTTGGATCGATTTATTTACTCAAGCACACGATTGGGGTCTTGTTCTTTATGAACAAGATTGGCTTGATCATCAAACTGTTGATTTTTTGCCAACACGTACCGATATTAATATTGGTTATCAATGGTTAATGTCAATGGGCGAAGCAGGTGAAAAACTAGGAATCAATATACAATATTGTATGAGTTTACCACGTCATATTTTGCAAGCTTTACAAATTCCACGTGTCACACAGGCACGAACATCAATTGATTATGCTGTTCATATTGTGCTTCCGATTAATGCTCAATGGGCTATTGGAATATCCAGTCTGCTCGCTGATGCAGTTGGCTTAGCACCATTTAAAGATGTCTTTTGGTCTAGTTCATTTGAACCAGATGCACCTTATCCAGGATTGCATCGAGAAATACTTCCAGATCGCGAAATGGCAGTTGCAACTCTTTCAACAGGACCGGTAAGCCCAGGCGATGCAATTAACTATACGAATGTTGAACGTATCATGCGATGTTGTCGTCAAGATGGCTTAATTTTGAAACCAGATCGACCATTAACTATGATAAATACATTAATATCTGATTGGGCTTTGTACGATGATTTTTCACAGGGAGAACTTTATTCAACAAAAACAACGATGTAGGTTTTTATGTTCTTTTTATACTATTATACTCTGATGCTTGTTTAGAAATAACCAAACGTTTTTTATTATCTTTGCATCATCGATGAAACGAGATTATTCAATTTATCCTTCGATGATTGGAGCTGAATCGGGACTCATTTGGTCATATGATAATTCAAGCATAGTCTCAACGTTTAATGAAAATTATCCTCTTGATGTATCAGCTATTAAATGCAACGAATTATCATTATGTCTTTGGTATATATCACCTCTACTTTCATTAAACGATTCACTTGGAACTCAATATGCTCTTCTTGGTGAATGGAATAAATGGACAGCTGTTAGTCAACAACGATTTATATCCATCATGACTGATACTGAAAAGAATCAAGCAATAATTACTGTTCAAGGTGTATCTTCTGAAATAATACCAGTCGTTGTCTTTCATTCAACATTACTTTCCGTTATTGTTAACTGCCGAATTTCATCTATAGACGGACAAGCTCATGTTATCGTTACTCCATCGGATGTCCATTGTTCCTAGATAGAATATTATCTGAACAACTTGAGTAGTATGTTTCTTAATAAATTACAAGTAGATTGAAAGTTGTGTAGCAATATTGCATTGATAATTTAGATAAACTTACTGAAGATAGTATTAGCGAAAAACTATAACGCAGAGATCAATGAGATTCATGTTGTTTTATTAATCTATCAATACAATACAAATTATGGAACAAATTGATCAGGAAGGTTTTGACATTGTTTGTAAGGTCATTATTTATCCAAAGGAAAAGATGGGTATGGATTTGTCAGCAAAATCGGCCCTATCTAAAAATTGTAAGAAAACTGCCACTAATTTTATGTGGTAAGAAAGTTGATTAACTCTACTATCTCACTATATAAGGGTGTAGGTGTGGGAGAAGAGACTATGAATACGCACACTCACATCCACTCTCTGCAACTACTAATATAAATCTCCCAGGTCGAAAAATCAGACGTAAGATCTTGAACACCAGATATGATTGTGCAAACAAATCGTCGTCTCAGACATCTGACATCAATTCGAACTGTAGGCTTCTCTCTAAACATACAGTAAGATCTGCCAAGAATCTTACAGTACACATTGATGTAAGATGTCTGGAATGAAGACTTGTTGTGTGATTTGCGTCTGATCTTACTATACGATTGTTCGACCTGGGCTCGATTCACTTGAATCTAAAATTGAAAATAGTGCTGATTTACTGAAACCATTCCATGACACGTCACAAGAGTATGAACAATGTATTTGTTTTAGACCTAAAAATATCAAAATATTTTTCATTGTTTCACATAACTGTGCACAAGCTCTTTTTGAAAATGTTCACAATCAACCCGTATTACATTCAATTTATATTTATGGCAAGGGTGTGGAGAAATGGAATAATAACAACCATACGCACACCCACAATTCCTCCTTTCACCGGAAAGCATGGTAAAGATGCTGCTATGGACACCTTATCAAATGATATTAGATGAAGATATTAAACAATTTAATATTCATTTCTATTTGATGTTGAGTTATCAATGAAATTTATTGAAGAATTTTGATGGAGTTGGACAAACATGAAAATAATTTTCAGTATCTTGTTCAATTAAAGATTACATCGTAGAAAATATAAAGAATTTTGAGAAAAATAACTTGCAACAATTGAATTTTTGTTTCATCGGTGTTCGATGATTATATGTTTCAACCATGTCGTCATTATTGTACGACGATTTGTCGATTAGAATGTTTTCCATAAATATAAAAGAGATTTTTTTACTTTATATGAAAACTTTTTATTTTTTGGAAAATTTAATGACCAATAACAATTTAACATTTGTTGATAATTTTCGACTAAAAAAAAATATTGTAAAAAAAAATTCGATATCAAGTTGAACATTTATGTTTATCATGAAAAATTTACGGTCGACCGCGACGACATTTACTTCGTTTTTCAGTTTCTTTGCTAATCAAATCGTTCCAATATTTATCTCTTTCTGCACGAACAGTTTCAGTTTCTTCAATGTTTTTTTCAATTTCATGCATTTTTTCTAATGCTAATTTTCTTTTTAATGTCGCCGATTCAATTCTAGTATCAGAAGAAGCCATTAACCTATAAAGAGAAATAATACAAAAATTAATCAAAAAATGCCTGCTAGTTATATTTTGATGTTCTTCAATGGTATTATTTTCATTTTATACTTTTCCAAGATCACTCCTCAATTGATACAGCTACTAACTATCTCACATATAATTTTAAAATCCTCTTTATATTTCTCCAATAATAATCGTATTAAATACGAATGTGTGAAAACTAAAAATGGAAAGTAACTTACTTATTTTGCTCACCAATCAGATATTAGAAAATTTGATCGTCATAGTTTTTTTCCACCATATTAATCGATCGAATAGTATGCTTGACAGTCAGCCTTTCAAATATGGAAACCAAATTTGTGGCTGCATATTCATTTTTAATTAACATAAATATTGAGTAATTAACTAAGCTTTATTAAATATCAAATCCATTTGCATTTATGTTCGAGTCTGGGAAAATGAATATGTTAAAATACATCCGTTTGTTTGTATGAAAACTAGATGACATGAATAATAAAGTTGACAAATTCATAGTATCAAACATAAAATGATCTCAACTATGTAGAACATTTAATGGATAAAAATATTATCGTTTTCTAACTCTACTGGGTTATTGGAACAAGTTGTAGAAAATATCTGTAATTGATAGAAAAAAAATAAGAACAGTTTTTGATTACCTCTTCATCGGAATTTATATCGTTTGTTTTGTTCATTTGAGATTTTAATTCTACACAAAATAATAAGAAAAAAATGAATGATGACGTTATCATAGACGTTTGCTGAATTCAATGATTGATAATGATCATTGTTTTCTAGGGCGAGCATTGATATTGCGATATGGATTTCGTCTAATTGGTCATTAATATTATCGTGTTCATGGTCGAGGAAGAAAATATATATTTCTTTGTATATTTTAAATAGGAGCATTATCAATCACAAAATGGATATGTTTTTCAAAAGTTTTATCAAGTTTTCATTATATTGAAATGAAAATAAAAAATCTTTGTAAACGTTAGTGTTATATAGTGTTCTATAGGGATGTAATTATTACGAGTATACTAATGTACTATAAGTATCGATAGAGCAGTGACATGGATCTTTTAGTATTAATGCTACCAATATTACTGATCTACTCGATCAGAGGCAGATACTCAATCGATTCGTATAAAGATTCTCGTATTTGCTGTATTTACTGAACGACAAAAATTTATAAGAAAAAAGTATCTTCTAGTCATATTGACTCTCATAGTTTCGAAGACATATTAGATATTATCAATCATTTTTCCTGTTGACAATATACAAACACGAGCAGATACTTAACATTTTAAAGGTTCTCTGATCTTCCATCATTTTTAATTAATTCAAAATGATTGATTTCTCACAACATAAAATTTGACAAATAAACTAAGCGATTTGTTTTGTTCCTTTAAGGTACCTGATATCAAATCTTAAAAATTAGGAAATGCTAATATCGATAAAATCTGTCCATTATATAGTAAATCCCATTTGGACAATCATTCGAATCATCAAATAACTCAATTAACTCGTCAAGAAAATATATCAACATCAAATGAATTAATTGAAAATTTACATAATAAAGGTTTAGCAATGCAACATGCTGCTGATGAGCATATGATGGTTCATAATCATATAAATAATGATGATCAAACAAATGAAATAAAACAAGATGAATTAAAAATGGAATTAGATTTTATCGAACAATTACTACGAAAAACAAAATGTCAACTATATAAAAGGCTTCAACATTTACAAACGCGTCGGGCAATTAGTTTTCCTTTATGAATGTTTATTTTTCAATATGTAATTAACAATATATCGATGCTTATATCTACTGCAAATAAGTTTTAATTAAAAGACAAGAGATTTTCATTTCAGTTATGTTTTTAATACTAATTCATAATCGATTAGTAAGTCATATGTTAGTCTGGGTGTGGGTGTATTATAAACTCAATTATTATAGACCAAAGCAGTATACACGATGCGCTTTGATCGTGTGTTAATTCGATCATCATCACGTATCATTCGACTCTTCCACTAAATGTAAAAATTAGAACTACATATTACGTAGGAAATATTCCTTACCAATTAAAAATAATCTCAAATTAATTCAATGCAGGAGCCCAAAAACACGACAGCCCATTCGAATAAATACAAAATAAAACTTAAAAGGAGTAAATCTCATATAGTCAAAATTTCGCAAAACGTAGTTCAATCTATAACGGGTGTGTTGTACAGCTGCTTCTCATTTCTCATGGCATACCATGGTGCTATGTTGGTCTTAAATAGTGGTCGTTATCATTTCTCATGACATACCATGTGATGCTTAAAGTCTTAAATAGTGGTCGTTGTCATTTCCCATGACATACCATGTGATGCTGAAAGTCCTAAATAGTGCTCGTTGTCATTTCTCATGACATACCAAGTTACTGGGTTGGTCCTAAATAGCGGTCGTTGTCATTTCTCATGACATACCATGTGGTGCTGAAAGTCCTAAATAGCGGTCGTTGGCATTTTTCATGACATAGCATGCTGCTGGGTTGGTCCTAAATAGTGGTCGTTGTCACTTCTCATGACATAGCATGCTGCTGGGTTGGTCCTAAATATTGGTCGTTGTCATTTCTGATGACATACCATGTGGTGCTGAAAGTCTTAAATAGTGGTCGTTGGCATTTCTCATGGCATACCATGTGGTGCTGAAAGTCTTAAATAGTGGTCGTTGGCATTTCTCATGACATACCATGTGGTGCTGAAAGTCCTAAGTGGTGGTCGATGTAATTTCTCATGCTATGCGATATGTTTCTGAAAGTCTTAAATCATGGTGTTTTTTGCATCCTGATTGGTTAAGATTGTGATATGGTTTGTGATGGAAGGTACAGGTTTTTTTCGTTTATCTGATGTGAATAAGTATTTATTCGTTTTTTGTTGTCTTTTATTTTTTAGAATGTTTTGGCTATTGATCAAAACCAATTATTCTGCGGTTGCAATAAGTTTGTTTTCTATGTTTTATTTTTGTTTCGGAGGTGTAAGTGGGAACTATTCAAAGTGCATTGATTTTCTTTTTCTTTTCATAAATGATATATGTATTTACTCATTTGTTTTTCTATGCTTTAGAATCTGTTCGGGTATCGATCAAGAAGTATCAATCTGAAATAACTCTAGATAAGTGTTCCAATAATTATTATTTATGTTTTGTTTGACGGGTGCAACTGGGAATTATACAAATTGGTATGTTTATATTTTCGTTTATCTAGTATGATTTAGTTACATTTATTCATTTATGATTATTTTCTTGTTTAGGATGTGTTCACGTTTTCTACCAATGCAAGCGCAATAAATACAAAATACCCATGAATAAGTATTAATATAAATAATGTTCTCATGTTTTTTCAGAGGTGCCGCTGGAAATTGTTCAAATTCGCAAGTTTTTATTTTTCTTTATCTGACCTAAGTAAACTGCTTATTCATTTGTTTTTCTCTGCTTTAGAATGTGTTCTCGTATCATTCATGAACAATCATAATCTTTATTTGATACAAGTAACTATTCTAATTAACAATACTTTCTTTTCGTTTCAGAGAGAAAAGTGGAAACTATACACATTAAAATCAGTTGTATTTTCGTTTAGTTCACATAAACAAAATAAATGTTCATCTTTTGGTGTTCTTCTTTTCTTTAGAATGTTTTTCACATCGATCATGAACGATCATACATAGTCGAAAGTATTTAGAAGCAAATATTCAAATAAACAACATTTGCTTTTCTTTTCGTTTCATGGATGCAAGCTATAATTCCACAAATTACAATTATTTCATTTTATTTTATTTTATCTAAAATAAGTGTATGACATATTCATTTTTTCTCTTTTCTCTGTTTTAGACTGTATTCGCGTATCGATCATGAACAATCAAATAATTTAAAATAACAATAAAGAAGTATTCAATATATTTTCTTTTCGTTTTTAGTGGTGCAACCCAGAATTATCCAAAGTACAATCATTTTATTTTATTTCTCCTCTATCTAACTTTTAAATAAACTCTATATATTCAAATTTTTGTCTCTTGTTTAGAATGTGTTCCTCTATCTATCAAGAATAATCAATATAAAATAACTCTAGATAAGTATTGAAATAAACAGTTCTTTCTTTTTGTTTCAGAGTTCCAAGTTACACTTTTACTGATCACAATGGGTTTTTGGTTTCTCTCATGTAATATAAAGGAACGAGATAGTAAATTGTTTTCTTTTTCTCTTCTTTTAGAATGTGTGTTCACATCGATGAACAGCAATTATATATTATTCTTCTATTCTTGTTTGGGTTGTGCTATGGAAAATTGAAAGATAATTATCCTTTTTATAAATGTAAGTATACGCAAATATTAAATATATTCCAGGTTTACTTCTTTTGTGTTTTTTGTTCTAGATTTTCTACTTTTCTTTGTTTTTTGAACGGTTGACAAAAGATTAAAAATCAAACTGTATAAGTGAGTATGCTTTTTCTTGTGCAACTTGATCATTGAGTGTCTGCGATTCAATGAATGATAAGTTGAAGTAATTTTTGCAAATAAACAATATACTTTTCTTTTTCATTTCCTTGGTGCAATTTGGAATTATCTAATCATGTTTTTTATCCAACTTAAATAAACTCTATATTCATTTTGTTTTCTTTTCTCTTGTTTAGTTATATTCATTTGATTTACTTGTACCTGTTTTTTTTCTCGTTCTAGATCTTCTATTCTAATTCTTGGAATGGTTGACACTTATAATTATATATCAATGGGTATACGATGGTTCTGTATAACATAATCATTCGATCTTCTTTTTAGTTTCAGATGCACAATTTTCTATTATTATTATTATTTTTTTGCATCTAATATAAATAAACTACATATTCTTTCTGTGGTTTTCTTTTTATTTTATTTTCTTTTGTTTATAATTTGTGTTCATATTAGTCAAGTACAATAAGAATAATAACTATTTCTTCTTCTTTTATCCAATATGGACAATAAAAATGTTAATTACTTTTATTTTTCACTTTATATATTAAATACATTCCAGAATCCTTATTAAATAATTTCCTTTTTTTTTCAGATAAATTTATATTGATCGTCTTTAACAACAGCGAGCATCTCC